CTCCTCATGCTTAGTGTTGGCTCCTAAATTTGGCTGGTTTGAAGATAAATAAGATGATCTTTTCTTGGAGCCAAAGATATTCTCACTGTCTCCAAGGGCTAGCATAGGCCATTAACCAACCATTAGCTTCTTGGTACTAGGGCCTCATCTTTACAAGCACTAATTACACATCTTTTTTGAAACTAACTGCTATGGACTTGAAATACAATGGTTGCTCCCAACACGGCAGGTAACTGCTCAGCCAATAGAATGTTACTAGAGAACAGGTCAGGTTCAGATGCTGAAGCATCTTCCAAAGCTTTTAGTTGTTGAAGATTTGTCCGCTAACCTCTTAGATGAAGGCTCCGTGTATCCCTTTGGTCACTGGGGACATTTTCGCCATCAAGTTGTAAGGGGCAGCTGCCACTTGGCCCTGTAAGGCAGCCTCACTATAGTCAGAGTCCCCGAATTAGTTTCCTGTTACTACTGAAAAAAATCACCACAAACTTAGCAATGTAAGACAACACAAATTTATTTTCTTACAGTATCGTTGATCAGCAATCTAAAATCAAAGTGTTGGCAGAGCTGTGTTCCTTCTGAAGATTCCAGGAAATAATATATTTCCCTGCCTTCTCTAATTTCTAGAAGCTGCCTGCATTCCTTGGCTTGCAGTCCTTCCACACATTATTCCATTTTGCTTTTGTCATTTTATCTCCTATTGTGGTCAAGTCTCCCTCTTACAAGGGCACTCTCTTCTGATCATCCAGGTTAATCTCTCTATCTTGAGATCCTTAATCACATCTGCAAAATCCCTTTTACTATCTGAGGTAACATTCACAGGTTCCAGGGAATAGAATGTGAACATCTTGGGGGACCATTATTCAGCCTACCAGTCCCACAGTCCCACGTTTCTTTTTTTTTTTTTTATCTCAATGAACTGATGTTTTTTTATTTTATTTGAATGAGTTACAATCCATTTATATTATTATTTAGTTTGATGCTCAAATAGTCTCAGATTTAACCAATGGGAGTCCCTAAAAGCTGGCTCCTATGTCCTTTTGACTTGACATGTACCCATCACCTTTTGAGCATTCCCCTTCCTTAAAATCAATCGTTACTTCAAAGTGTCTGATTCTTTTTAATTTTTTTTGAGTTGGAGTCTCACTCTGTCACCCAGACTGAAGTGCAGTGGCTGCTCCCGGCCACCTCAGCCTCGACCTGCTGGGCTTTGGCGATCCTTCCGCCTCAGTCTTCCAAGTAGCTGGAATTACAGGTGCGCACTACCACACCTGGCTAATTTTTTGATTTGTTGTAGAGATGAGGTCTCGCCAAGTTGCCCAGGTGGGTCTCGAACCCGCAGGCTCAGGCAATCCACTCACCTCAGCCTCCCAAAGGCACAGGATTACAGGCTGAGCCATCGAGCCCGGCTTGTCAGTCCCACATTCTTTGCACTGCCTTCATGAAGGGTGGTAGGAGAGAGTACCCAGCAGGGGCACAGAGTTTGGAAGCGTTCCTAAATAAAGATCTAGAGAGAAGTGTGTAAATTCAGTTCTGTAACCAGTGTGTTCACTCTGAGATCATTATAAATTGGTCTCATTTCCCTTAGCTCCATATCTTTCCCTTCCAACAATGCTTCTTTTAACACTGAAGCTGAACTCATTATTATTATTTTTTTTGAGTTGGAGTCTCACTCTGTTGCCCAGACTGGAGTGCAGTAGCTGCTCCCGGCTACTGCAACCTCGACCTGCGGGGCTCCGGCGATCCTTCCACCTCAGCCTTCCGAGTAGCCGGAATTACGGGCATGCACTACCACGCCCAGCTGATTTTTTAATTTATTGTAGAGATGAGGTCTCGCCAAGTTGCCCTGAACCCGCGGGCTCAGGCAATCCGCTCACCTCAGCCTCCCAAAGGTATGGGATTACAGGCTGAGCCACCGAGCCTGGCTTTGAACTCATTATTAATACTTCCTCATCCTAAACAACAAATTATTCGAGACAGTAAAATATATCAGGCATGGTGGCTCACGCCTATAATCCCAGCACTTTGGGTGGCTGAGGCGAAAGGATTGCCTGAGACCAGGTTCAAAACCAGCGTGGACAACTTCGCAAGACCTCGTCTCTAAAATTAATCAAAAAATTAGCCGGGCATGGTGACATGTGTCTGTGGCTCCAGCTACTTGGAAGGCTGAGGCAGAAGGATCGCCCGAGCCCAGTAGGTGGAGGCTGCGGTGGCTGTGAATGTGCCACTGTACTCCAGCCTGGGCTACAGAATGAGACTCCAACTAAAAAAAAAGATAGTAAGATGCATGGTTCCTACAGGTTGAGGTATTCTTTTTCATAAGCCTTTGGCCTACCAAGCACAGTTGTGGTCTGCGGCATGCTTACAGAATGTAAAAGCACCTTATTTTTGTTTAACAATCTATATTCTGTGAAATACTTTCATAGAATCATCTGGCCTTCAGCTCATCTGGCCATAGGAAATCTGGCCATAGGAAAATGAAAGTAGTGTTATTTCAGTTATATGGATTAGTAAACTACAACTGAATGGATTGGAGGGTAAATGACATAACACAAGAAACGTGGTAGACACCAGCCACATGGGTGAAATAAATGAGAATTACATGTTATTGACAGAATTTATTGGAAGTTGAGACTATTTTAATGTGGGGGGTACAAATAAAGAATCACCTGAGGTTTGTAGCTTGAGCAATGAGTTAATCCTACCAAATGAGATATGACTAGGTTTGAAATAAGGATAATGAATTTGCTTTTGGGATACATTGAATTTGAGGTACCTAAGAACTATCTAGGGATGATATTACAAAACAGGAAAACTATTAGTCTAGAACTATGGATGTGGGCTACTGAGATATTTGGGGACCACTAACATGTAGACAGTTATTAAAATCCCAGGAAAAGCCGGGCTCGGTGGTTCAGCCTGTAATCCCGCGCCTTTGGGAGGCTGAGGTGAGTGGATTACCTGAGCCCGCGGGTTCAAGACCCGCCTGGGCAGCGAGACCTCATCTCTACAATAAATCAAAAAATCAGCCGGGCGTGGTAGTGCATGCCTGTAATTCCGGCTACTCGGAAGGCTGAGGCGGAAAGATCACCGGAGCCCAGCGGGTCGAGGCTGCGGTGGCTGGGAGCGGCCACTGCACTCCAGTCTGGGTGACAGAGTGAGACTCCAGCTCAGAAAAAAAAAAAAAAAAATCCCAGGAAAAATATGAAGAGGAAGGTGGGTTGGAACCCTAAGCAAAGTGTGGCCTACCTCTGTTTGCATCAGAATAATCTGGGGTGTCTATTAAAAACTGATTCTTCATTGTGAATGTACTTAATGCCGCAGAATTGTATGCTGAAACATAGCTAAAGTTCGCTGCAAAATGGTAAATTTTACGTTATAAGTATATTACCACAATAAAAGAATGCAACAAAACAAAACAGACTCCTAAACCTCTTTCCAGATCCAAATCACTACCTCTGGGTTCACAATTTAAATCTTTGAAGCACCTTTTAAATGCTAGTTAATGCATCTTGGCTAGTATCTGTAGCTGCTGTGCTAAGCCTGGGCATACTGGAGACTTGAACTGCTCTAAAAAGATATGCTTTTTCTTCTTTTAGCCAGGCCAGGGATTCTTCATTCCAGATTGCTCTGTGAGCTTTTGCTCAAAGA